AAAAATTGTTCACTGAAAAACGGCCTCAAACTCAATAAAATTGTTGTATAAAAATTATTATTAGACTGAAAAATAACAAAACCAAAAAAATTCACGTTTAGTTAAAAGTAACAAAATACAGAAAAGGTGCATATTTTAGTACCATTTTCACTCAAAAATAGTAAACTTCCTTATACTTCATAACTACTCGACTTTACTGCTTCAAGACTCTAGATATGTATTTGTGAAACTCCTATACACTATTTCAATCAGTTTTGTAGTTCCGCATATTAAGTGCTTTAAAAATTCATTAATTTCGTATCTCAATGTGTGTAAGTAAATACATATGTACACATGTACATACATACATATACAATGTATCGCTTTACCTTCGTTTTTTAAAACAAGGACGAGGTATTGTAGTATTTAATATGTATGTATGTATGTATGTATGTACATATGTAGGTATAAGTGCTAACAAATGCCACTTTCAGTGCCTCCGGCACATAAATCAATTTACAAATGATGCTTAAGAGTATGCAACCTTTACTTACGTTTGACGCTGCGCCCATATGCGTTACTCCTGTGTGAATAAATAAATAAATGTGTGTAAACATACTTGTAAATATAATACGTGTAAGAATTTATATTTTATTTCTGAGTACGAGACAGTTTTACCTGGGGCGAACAGGTGTTGTAGTACAAGAAACATACCATTTAGGGAAATTATTTAATTTAAAAGAAAACTTTTGCAACTTGTTTCTCTTACATACTTATGAAAAAAGTAGCAAAATTGTTTCCATTTCGGGCTTTTTTTGGCTAAAGTTAATTTTCTAAGGACCGTCTTCACAAGTAACTTTTCAAATTTATTCGTCCTTGAAACACAAATTTTGTTCTCAAGAAATGTGTTTAAATGGCAGATAAATTTTTCTGAACGTAAGTGCAATGACCTTAAAGATAACTAGATTAAACAATTAGAAATTATATACATATATATATTTCAAAGATTTTTGGACTTTTCTGCTTTACCACCACTGGCACTAGAAATTCAACAATAAAAACTCTGCTCATGAGCCTATAGGGAAGAATCTTTCCAACCCATCTCCAAGTTGCGGCCGAATGAATTGTTAGTTTTTGCCCTAAAAACAAATACCCAAACCAAAAGCACTCTTAATTTTCAAACTAAACCATATTGAAATCATATTAAATTTCCTATACAAATTACATGGGATTTTTGAACTTTTTACATTTAGTTTTTTTATCTCTCTGAAACAAATAAGGGACCAGCAATGGCCAATGTAATGATATTTTGATAGAGAATTGAATTTATCGAAAACTGATGTAAGATTTTTTTGTAGAGCGTTCAATTGCTTATCTATACTACATATATATAAAATTAAAACCCGAAAAAACGTGAGAGCAAAACAGCCGATGTACTCGGTCGATTTCTATGATTCAAGTTTTAAAATGACATATTTCTACCACAGTAGGACACATTGGTATTTTTAAAATAAAATTTTAATAATAAGTATGTTTAATTAAGGTATTAAGTTGATCAACAATACCACGCATTGCTTTCACGCGTTTGTGTTTAGAGAGTCTTGATGCTCATACCACCACATATTTCTCTCTATTCTCTTCTCTTTTTATATTCAGCTAGTTAAGATATACATTAGTTATTTCCGTAGAAAGAGAGGGAGGGGTTTCTCGCGTCTTACGGATTGCTCAATTGGCCAAGCAGGACAAAAACTCGGTTTTATATAATTAAAAATAAAAATTTCATATGTATGATTTTTCCTACAGGGTATAGGAAAACTTTCGATTTTTTACTTACTTACTATATGTATACACACTTACATTCATACATACATGTGCACATATCCATCCACACATACTAAAGTGTAAATTTTCATGCAACTTCAAGTGCCATTTCCACGAACTTCAACTGAACCAAAATGACTTAAACAATTTTTTACATAAATACTCGTATAATCCACTCAAACACATTAACAAAATTGCGATATGTTTTAAAAAGTTATCATGCAAGAGTGGCTCAGTAGTATGTAGATATAAAAATAAATTATTTACGAGTAACTTGTGCCTGTGGTAGCGTGGAAAATATTTTACATGCTGCAACAAACAAGCTACATATGCATATACATACATACATACATATGTAGTTGGTGGTGTGAGCGAAACACGCCAAATGTTACTTCCTTTTCCGTAAAATTGGAATTTATTTATAAAAAAAAAAAAATGGATTCCCGCAATGTTGAATAGCTTGCGCGGCAAGGGAAATTCGTGTTCACTGCAACGGGGTAATTGAGTGCAGGTAAAAAAAATGGAATTTAAATTTTTTCTCTTTACGACTTCATAACCAATGCAAGTGTGCCATATGCAAATTAACACAGAAAGGAAGGAGTGAAAATCATTCGTAACTAAAATATTTGATTCGTGTAGGCAATGTGAGTTGTAAATATGTGTATGAGTATTTATTCACACATGAATAAGTGCATGCAATTTTTACATGTGTATAAAGATTCTGGCGAAAGATTTCGACATTGCATTGCAAGCAGAAATTACAAGAGCTTTTTCCTATTAAAAGATTAAAAGTTAAAAATTGATATCGAAAAAATTTATCGATATTGAAGATCATAGTAATGACTTTATCGGAAATAAATAATATAAAAAAAAACTTTTTAATATACAACGCTTTTATAAATAAACTAAAAAGTAGAAAATAATATTTCTCAGTCCCATAGAATTTGTTTTGATAACTTTTGATTTTGAAATTTTAGCAAAAGTCATTATAAACAATCTATGAAATTGAAAATGAAAAACGTGGAGCGCATGCAATACAAAGCATTCGATTTAATTGACAATAGTCAAACTACATAACGTAGACCTAAAATTTCTACA